CAGGCTGTCCCCTGTGTGTGGATATACATGTATATTTTACATATATGATTAGAGAGGATAAGTAACATTTTAGTTTTTCACTATAAACATTATTATATATGTGGAATATGAAAAATAATCTATAGATAAACTAGAGGAACTATTAAGTAAATCTGTGTTCAATATGAATACTATTACTATCTACCAGCAAAAAAAAAATTATAAATAATGAAAACGCTAAATGATTCTATTTACATGGGCACTGGGTGTGTACAGGATCACTGGAGGCTCAAAGCGAGTACGACAGCATTATAAGAATAGGAGGGGACACTCGGAGACACACACGCAGACACACATGGAGGGCACTGTGTGAAGACACAGAATACACAGAGGGGAGATGACCAGAGGCAGAGGCAAAGCGATGCTCCCACCAGCCAAGGAATGTTGGAGGCTGCCAGAAGGTGGAAGAGGCAAGGAGTGCTCCCACCCCGGAAGCTTCAGAGGGTGCTTGGCCCTGCTGACAACTTGATTCTGGACACCCGGCCTTCCAAAACTGAGAGAATCGACGTCTGTTGTTTTAACCCATCAGGTGATTCATTACTGCAGCCCTAGGAAACACCCTGTCCACCTAAGTTTTGTGCAGAGCACGCGGCCCGGCAGTTGAACTCCTAGAAACAGATGCAAAAGAAATGTGGGAAGTGTTGACAAAAGAATTCATCCAGGACCATGCATAGCAACACTGATATTGACACAATCTCAACAGAATGAATGAAAACTTCAGTATGCCGTGAAACGTGACCTTGTAAGGAACAGGGCTAGAGCTGCACACACGTGGATGAACTTCACACAGGGTTGAGCAGAAGGAACCAGACATGAAAGAGAAGCTGCTTTATAATTGCACGTAAACAACGTTTAGGAGGAGGCAGAACTAAACGAGGCATCTGAGATCAGGACAGTGCTGACCTACATGGGAGGTGCCATCTGGGAAGGAGGGAGAGCAGCCATGGGTGGCCGGAAATGGTCACTCCCATTCAGCCGTTCCATGGCTGTGTTTCCTCCCCAAAATTCATCCAGCCAGGACCTATTATCGAGGCCTAGAAATGGGTCATTCCATTGACTGTGTTACTCTTGGGTTAAATATTTTCATACAAAATAAACAGAGACCCCAAAAGCTCCTCAAACCTACCTCACTTCACTCTCCACAGGGTCCACCTCTTGCTTACGATACTCTCAAAAATCTAACCTACAGGTAAAACGAAGAGCATCGCAAAGCTTCTAGAGAGAAACAGGAGGAAATCAAGATGGCTTTGTGCTTGGTGATGAGTTCTTAAATACAACACTGAAAACACAGACCTTGAAGGCAAAAAAGCCTTAGACTTTATTCAGATGAAACCTCTACTCTGTGAACTATGCTGTGAGGATGCCGAAGACAAGCCACACGCTGGGAGGAAACATCTGCAAAACACGTCTCTGGTAAAGAGCTTGTACCAAAATACATGAAGAATTCTTGAAACTCAACAACAAGGGAACAACCCAGTTAAAAAGTGGGCCAAAGAACTGAAGAGAGGTCTCATGGAAGAATATATACAGAGGGCAAATAAGCACACAGAGGAATCCTCAAGATCATTCATCATTAAGATATTGCCAATTTAAACAGCAATGCGATCCCACTGCACACCTGTTAGAATGGTGAACAGCCGAAACTCTGACAACAGCCAACGCGGGCAAGAAGGCAGAGCCAGGTGACCTCTGGTCCGTTGCTGGAGCACAGGCAAAATGGCATGGCCATTCAAGAAGCGAGCCTGACAGTTTCTTAGGAAGTTAAATATAGTCTCACCATATGATCCACCAATCACACTCCTACATATTTATCCAACTGATTTGAATACTTATGTCTACACAAAAACCTACATGCAAATATTTATAGCCGTCTCATCCGTAATCTCCAAAAACTGAAAGCAACCAAAATGTCATTCAAAAGGTAACTAGATAAACAAATGGCAGTGCTGTTATACAATGGAACATAATTGGAGACAGAGATGAGCTACCAAGCTCTGCAGAGAGAGGAAGGAAATCACCAATGCTTGCACCTTGAGTGCATATTTTTCATGTGAAAAAAGTCAGTCCAGAAAAGGCTGCTCACACTCTGTGATACTAATATTTTCAAGTATGTGAGAAAAGGCAAAACTAGAGAGAGTAAGAAGACCAGCGGTCACCAGAGATTGGAGGGGAGGGAGGAGGGCTGGACGATGAGACAACAAGGACTCTCAGAGCAGTGAAACTCTTCTGCGTGATGCTGTCATGGGGGGCATATGGCACTGCATATTTGTTATAAAAGATTTGGATCATAATCCCAAAAGATGCAGTCCCAAACTCCAAAATCCTGAATGTTGAAATCCCAAAAGATCAAAATCCCTCAACGAAAGTTGGGAAAATTTAGTAGGGAACACTCATGTCATTGTTTATCAGGTCACAGAACAATTTCAAAAGAGGAGCAGAGACACCATGTAGAAAATTAACGTAGGCCGGGCACGGTGGCTTATACCTGTGATCTCAACACTGCGGGAGGCCGAGGCAGGTGGATCGCTTGAGCTCAGGAGTTCAAGACCAGCCTGGCCAAACATGGGGAAACCCCGTCTCTACTAAAAATACAAAAATTAGTCGGGTGTGGTGGTGGCACCTGTAGTCCCAGCTACTCAGGAGGCTGAGGCAGGAGAATTGCTTGAACCCAAGAGATGGAGGTTGCAGTGAGACGAGATCCAGTCACTGCATTCCAGCCTGGGGGACAGAATGAGACTGTCTTGGGAAAAAAAAAAAAATGAATGTGAATTCTCTTGACAGAGAGAGTCATAGCCTGAGAGAGAAAAAAAAAGCAGCTTTTCATTATGATGCAAGACTCCAAAATATAGTTAATGGTTGTGAATAAGGGCCATCTCTTACGTCCACCTTTGTGCAATTGCCTGTAATCCATCCCTGTAATACACGTTTTCATACATCAGATTTTCTTGTTAGTTTCATTTTAACTTGCTTGTTTGTTTTTACTATTTTAAGTGGTCAGTTTTTTGTTTTTGTTTTTTTTTTTTTTACAATTTTCTGTGCTATGAATTTTATCATTTCTGCATCATTTCCAATACTGGAGGTGTAAACTGTGCTGAGACTTTAGAGTTCTAATTCGTTTTGTGCCTTTTGTTTGTTTTTTGCAAATTTGACTCTACAAGAGCACACTATGACAATATTACATTTTGTATACGTATTGCCCAGGTATGTACAAACATTGAAACTTCCTCAGTAAATGGAGAGATGTCCTTTTTGTACATCTACACGTATGAAAAATGAAATTTCCCGGGATCTCGGTTCTTTGGTAACCATCATGGTGACCCCATCACAGTTTCTGATAGAACTTCTCAAAATACTTAGGTTGTTCATTGCAGTATCTCAGATGACCGCAGCTAGTGAGCCGGGTGCTAACAGTCACCAGCCATTCCGCTCTGTGTTTATATATTTCCCTTTTTCACCAGTTTCTTTTCTTTCCTTTTTTTTTTAAAAGATGAGGTTTCACTCGGTCACTCAGGCTGGAGTGCAGTGGTGCGCTCATAGCTCAATGGATCCTCCTGCCTCAGTTTCCTGAGTGGCTGGACGACGGGTGTGAGCCACCTGTCCTGACACAGCTCATCTTTTCTTTCTTTCAGTGTTTTTTTCTTTTCTTTTCTTTTCTTTTGAGATGGAGTCTTTCTTTTGTCACCCAGGCTGGAGTGCAGTGGCACAATCTCAGGTCACTGCAGCCTCCACCTCCTGGGTTCAAGCGATTCTCCTGCCTCAGCTTCCCGAGTAGCTGGGATTACAGGCACCCACCGCCACACCCAGCTAATTTGTGTATTTTTAGGAGAGATGGGTTTTGCCATGTTGGCCAAGCTGGTCTCAAACTTCTGACTTTGTGATCCACCCTCCTCAGCCTCCCAGAGTGCTGGGATGACAGGCGTGAGCCACCGTGCCTGACCAGCTCATCTTCTCATGACACCCCCATTTTGTTTACACTTTCAGGGGATCCTTGGCCCATCTGTTTATACTGCTACGACAAAATGCCACAGACTGGGTACTTTTTATTTATTTATTTAATTTTATTTCTTTTTTTTTTGAGGCAGAGTCTCGCTCTGTTGCTGAGGCTGGAGTGCAGTGGCACAGCCTCTGCCTCCCTGGTTCAAACGAATCTTCTGCCTCAGCCTCCTGAGTAGCTGAGATTACAGGTGTCCACCACCACGTCGGGCTAATTTTTGTATTTTTAGTAGAGACGGGGTTTCGCCATGTTGGCCAGGCTGGTCTCAAACTCCTGACCTCAGGTGATCCACCTGCCTCGGCCAAACTGCTGGGATTTCAGGTGTGAGCCTCCATGCCCAGCCAATTTTTAATAAACAGAAATGTATTAGGTCACAAAAGCCCTACCTCACAGGATGGCCGCACTGGGGGTCGGGTGTCCAACTCAGGCTCTTGCGGAGACTCCTTCTAACCATTGCAGCCCCTTCATGCTCCTGCTGTCCATGCTCCAGGGTGAGAACTGGGGAGCAGAGTGAGAAGGGAAAGGGACTCAGGACTAAATCCCGGGGGGCTCACAGGCACCATCGCCATTAGCTCGGCCACATTCAGCTTTAACGGAACCCACAGCCCACGAGGCTGACACAGTGGCCCTGGCGGGGCTCACGGGCACCATCGCCATTAGCTCGGCCACATTCAGCTTTTTTTTTTTTTTTTTTTTTTTTGAGACAGAGTCTGGCTCTGTCGCCCAGGCTGGAGTGCAGTGGCCGGATCTCAGCTCACTGCAAGCTCCGCCTCCCGGGTTTACGCCATTCTCCTGCCTCAGCCTCCCGAGTAGCTGGGACTACAGGCGCCGGCCACCTCACCCGGCTAGTTTTTTGTATTTTTTAGTAGACACGAGGTTTCACCGTGTTAGCCAGGATGGTCTCGATCTCCTGACCTCGTGATCCGCCCGTCTCGGCCTCCCAAAGTGCTGGGATTACAGGCTTGAGCCACCGCGCCCGGCCTCACATTCAGCTTTAACGGAACCCACAGCCCACGAGGCCGACACAGTGGCCCTGGTGGGGCTCACGGGCACCATCGCCATTAGCTCGGCCACATTCAGCTTTAACGGAACCCACAGCCCACGAGGCCGACACAGCAGCCCTGAGGTCCACACGGCCCTGGAGGCTGCGAGTCCGAGAGTAAGGTGTTGGCAGGGCTGGTGCCCGGGAAGGGCTCTTCCTGGGGGCAGACGGCCACCTTCTCACGGTGTCCTCATGCGGCAGAGAGGGAGCCCTCCGGGGCCTCTTCTCCTGAGGCCGCCAGTCCTGTGGGATCAGGCCCTCTCTCCTACAACCTCATTGAACCCTAATCACCTCCTCACAGGCCCCATCCCTACATACAGTCACACCAGGGGCTAGGACTTCAACCTAGGAATTTGGGGCATGTAATTCAGTCCATAGCAGGCTGCAGAGAGCAGGAGGGGGCTGCAGATGTCAGCTGAGAAGGGTCCTTCTGCAGACCACCCAGGGGGAAGTTCCCAGTCAGAGGGAGAGGAGTTCTGGGGGTCAAGGGGACCATTAGCCCTGTACTGGGAGGGACCTGAAAGCTAAACTGTGTGGCCACCCCACGTCCCATGTCTTCCCAGCACAAAACGTGCCCTGCCGAGTTGATTTGCTCAGCTCATTCTTATTTTGAAACAATTTGAAGCATGAAGAAGAGTTGCACAAATAATGCCAATAACTCTGGTGCCGCCTTCCTGGGGGTTCTGGTGGTTCCAGTGCATTCCATATGCCCCCCCACCCCTGTCCCTCTGCCTCTTGTGCACACACACAGTTTCCTGATCCGAGAGTGAACGACCCTTAAATTCTTCACGGTGTGAAGATAAAAAGTTCCAAAAATCAGGAAATCCTGTCTCTTAAGCAAGTCACAGTTAGCACCTTGGGACATCCCACATGGCCCCGGGCTCTTTTCTGATCTGTGGTCTGTGGTGGAGCCACTCCACGCCCCAAAGGAGGCAGGGAGACTGTGCCATGGGTCGACTGGGACACAGGCCCTGGCCCGCTGTCCCTTCCTGGCTGTTATCTGCTTATTTGCGTTTTCTAGATATTTTCACAACAGCAAAAATTGTACTAATCATTTACATTCCCCACCCCATCTTTTCCCAAAAATCCAGGCCACAGATGGGCCACCCGCATGGTCACGGCCTGGAGGCCCCTTGCAGATGCAGAGTTCCAGGCCCCTGCAGGCTCAGGGAATGGGAGGTACCGGGGCCAGGGCCCTGGGCTTGGTGTTTTATCAGACTTCCTGTTGATTCTCCAGCACAGGGAATTTTGAGAACCACCTGCTACGCCTGCACTTTGGTTTGAAGCTGGATGTTGGTTTAACCAGGGTGTTGTGAGCTGCTCATGACCGATGTCCCTGGAAATATCTCAATGGAGCTAGTAGGGTCTGACTTGTACCTGGAGCCTTCAAGTTCCCTTATCTAGAGCAAGGTCCACAAGCCAGCCACGCCCCAGCTCCAGAACGGTCCAAGGGCTCAGCAGGCCAGTCGCCGTCAGTTCCAGAGAGACCTGTCCTCTGGGTCCCCTCTGTTGCAAACCTTCCATCCTTGGACACTTGACGAGTTTTATGAACAGACAGTGCATTTCATTGCCGGGATTATTATTTTTTTAATTTTGAAATTAATAATCCAAGATTCCTCTACATATTTTATGAAAAGCTCTATCTCCCATTTAATGAGCTCTGTGTGACTAATCAGAAAATAAAACGGATAAAGTAGAATGATTTAGCCTGTAAAATGAGAAATGAAGAAAAAGAGTAGCACATTAAACTCAGATGGGCTAGATTTTTCTGGAGTTGACCTTGGAGATGGTTTGGGGCGAGGGAAGCTTTGGGGAGGGCAAAAGGTGGTCTGGAGCAGTGGGGCATGTCCAGAGGAGGACACCTGGAAGGCATGGTCCTGCTGGCCGGGAGCTGGCCAGTACCTGCAGCCCTGCAGCCTCCAAGAGTGGGGCAGGAGGTGACAGGCCATAGGCACCTTGGGGGTTTCACTTATGGGTCCATCCCTTTGTCAAATGTGCACAGTGTGTCCTGCCCAGGAGGGAATTCCAGGGTTGGGCAGAGTCTCCGCGCTTCCGCCCCATAAGTGTGCCCTCTAGTGGAGGAGAGTGGGTGGAGGCATATTCCAGAGTTGACCAAGCTGTTGGCCTCCGTATTTGTTGATGGTCGGCTTGGCTGTAAAGGCCGAGCTGTTCAGGTTGCAGTCTTTAATTCTCTGGTCTGGAGCAGAGTTCCCTTTTGAAATGCAAATTTCCTGGAGCCAAGATCTTGCCAAGCCACCGTCTGCATCCTGAGGACTGTGTACCCCAGAGGGAGGCCTGTCTGAGAGCACAGAGGAAGTGGGGAACCCAGGGGCCGGAGGCATCCTGCAGGGACTGCCTGGCCACAGCCCTGGGCTGGAGCCTCTCTCTTCCTCCCACCCCTGCCCTCTGTTCTCAATGCCTGGCATTTTAAATGGCTGCAGAACTGTTAAGACTGTATTTACATAAATGGCCAATAAACATATGAAAAGATGTTCAAACTCAATAGTAATCAAAGACATGCAAATTAAAGCAACAAAGAGGTTGATACCTTTCTCTGTTTAGCAAATTGGCAAAGATTAAAAAGAACGATAATCCCTGGTTTGGGTACCAGTGTGGGAAAAGTCGGGCACTCTCCCCTCCAGCTGGTGGGCTTGTCAAAATCTTCCGCTTTCCTGGAGGGGGATTTAGCAACCTGCAGCACATGCTAAAATGTGGAGACTTTTTACATCCCTTCACCTAACAACGCTGCTGCCACGCGTTTATCATAAAGAAATGATTGAGTGAGATGGCAAGGGTGACACGCTAGTGTACTCATCACGGCATCAGTCATCACAAGAAGAAAGGGGCCCATCAGTGTGAGCAAGAGGAGGGCATGCCGTTCTCGGAGGGCCTCCTCCTCTGCCATATCCTAAAGAACAGGGCACATTGCTACTTATCGACATGGAACAAAGGCTTAGTAATACAGGGTTCATGAAGAGAGCAGGGTCCAGAACCCTCTGCATAGAACTCCCCATTCATACAAGTGTTAGTGGAATGACTACTGTGTGCCTAGAAAATTCTAGGTGCTGAAGCTTCCAGCAGAAATAAGCCAACTAAGGTTTTTGCCCATAAGAAGCAAGAACAGAAAGACAATGTATTAACCTCCAACAATCACTGTAACAAGTTCCCACAAACCAGGGGACCTGACACCAGAGATCCTGTGTCTGGCGACGGGCAGGGCCTTCCTCTCGCTGAAGGTTCTGGGCAGGATCTTTCTTCCTCTCGAAGCTCCTGGTGGCTGCAGGCCTTTCCTGGCGTGTGGCTGTGCCACTCCGATCTCTGTCTCCGTCGTCAAGCCTCCTTCTACGAGGCTGTTTTTCCAAATTTTCCTCTTCGTGTAAGGACATCAGCCATTGGATTTAGGAACCAACCTAATTCAGAATGATCGCATGTTAACTTGATCACATCTGCAAATACTCTATTTCCAAAGAAGGTCCCATTCACAGGTACTGGGGGTCAGGACGTGGACGTAACCTTCGGGGGACGGAATTCAACTCACACTCGATGGCCATTACAGGTAACAGTCGTCCTGCTACGCACCCAGCCCTGAACGCAGAGAATCCCTTTAGCCTCCAGAGCAAACCCATGAGTGACGCAGCACTACAGCGCCACTTCACAGACAGGCGGTTCCGGGACTCACCCAACCCTGGGGCCCACAGGGAGCAGGTGAGTCTGGGTCCTAACCCCCAGTCCCCGGGGACCCCAGAGCTCAGAGCAGCCCTGAAAACATCCTCAGGCTGCTGTGTGGCTTCACGAGGGTGCGATTTGGGGGCGAGGATGCCCCCATCCCCATCACGCATCTTTCCTCCCCCTTCCCAAGCATGGCCCCTTCCTGCTCCTAGAGATAACCAGTCTCTGTCATTTTCTGGCCATATATTCCTTGTTTTTGTTTTTCGTTTCACTGCCATGTCTACATCCCTGAAAAGCAAATCACAGGTTAGTCTCTGTGAACTTTATAAAAAGGGAAGCATATTTCACGTACCTTTCTGCTGCCTGCCTTCCTCCACGCCGCATCGCAGGTTTAGGGATTCATCCTGCTTTTCCTAGATCGTGGATTCCTTCCTTCCTGTCACTGAACTTACCACAGTCCGTTGATTCATTTTGCTGCTGAGGTGCCTTTGGCTTGCTCCCACTGGGGGCTGTAATGAGACGTGTTGCTGAGGCCGCTGTGCTGTGGGTCCCACAGGATGGGGGTGAGCTGCTGGGGTGCACCCCAGGTTACGGGGGGTCCCACCCGCACCTTGAGCACAGCCCCCTCCTCCCTGGAAAAGGTCAGACCAGTTCCCAATGGAGCTGCATCGGGCTTAACTCAGTTTTCCCCTCTGCACTTTACAGAACGCTTACACATTCGAACATGTATTGTTTAAATAATTAGATTATTTTGGAATGGCGTAAGCCAGTGGGAGAGAGACAGCAGCGTGGTCTCATGTTGGAAAGCTTGGCCCGGCAGCCACAGCCACTGTCCCGTCCCCAGGGGACTCTGGGCCTGGGGTCCTCACGGGGGATTCAATGAGCCGCTTCCATTATGGGGCTCAGCCGGGCCTGGTGTTGAGTTCGGTCCTGGGTGCAGGCTTGCGATGATTGCTGTTGTCATCAAAACAAAACCACTTTCATTTTGGAAAAATATTAAAGCCACGACAAAGGGCGGACGGACAGAGGCCTGTACACAGGGCTCCACTGTCTTCATAGGGTCCAAGGCAGGCACTTTTCCCCAGCGCAGTGGCGCAGGGCGGAGCCACCACCCTCGGTTCCAGAACTGTGTGTCTTGCTCTGTCCCAACCCCTAGTGTATGTGATTTCTGCCTGCACGGGGCCAGCCTGTTAAGAAAGAACTGTGCCCTCTCATCTCAGGGACCCAGAGCCAGCCTAGGACAGAAGCCATCCAGTGAATTAAGCTGCTCAAGCCATGCTGTCCCAGCCAGGTCCATGTGTCCGAAACCAGCTGAAGGCTGGGACCCGGTTTCAGCTCAGGACTCAGTGGAGAGCCCGTGCCCCTGGGTCCCGCCACCTCCAGGGCAGCAGTGTTGGTGACTGTGGCCCTCCTTTCACAAACCCACTATTGGGGCTGGACTGCACCCCCAAAGTCCACGTGTGGAAGCCCTAACCTCCAATGCCTCAGAAGGAGGCTGTGTTCGGAGAGAAGGCCTCTATAGAAATGATGAAGTTAAAAGGAAGTTATACGGGTGGGCCCTAATCCAACAGGACCCCGGAAAAAGAGTCATTAAAGAAGACACTCGGCCGGGCATGGTGGCTCAAGCCTGTAATCCCAGCACTTTGGGAGGCCGAGATGGGCGGATCATGAGGTCAGGAGATCGAAACCATCCTGGCTAACACGGTGAAACCGTGTCTCTACTAAAAAAAATACAAAAAACTAGCCGGGTGAGGTGGTTGGTGGGCACCTGTAGTCCCAGCTACTCAGGAGGCTGAGGCAGGAGAATGGCGTAAACCCTGGAGGCGGAGCTTGCAGTGAGCTGAGATTTGGCCACTGCACTCCAACCTGGGCGACAGAGCGAGACTCAAGCCCAAAACCCACTGGGAGCCCCGAGATGGGCGGATCATGAGGTCAGGAGATCAAACCATCCTGGCTAAAGAAAGAAACCCGTGTCTCTGGGCCAAAAAATACAAAAACTAGCTGGGTGAGGTGGTTGGTGGGCACCTGTATCCCAGCTACTCAGGAGGCTGAGGCAGGAGAATGGCGTAAACTCGGGAGGCGGAGCTTGCAGTGAGCTGAGATTCGGCCACTGCATTCCAGCCTGGGCGACAGATGACTCCGTCTCAAAAAAAAGAAGACAGTGATGACGCAGACAGGTACAGAGTGACGCCTAAGAGAGGCCTAGGCCTCAGGGAGAAGACGCCACCTTAAACCCGAGGAGAGGCCTCAGGAGGAACCAGCCCGGGCTGCACCTTGATCTGGAACTTCCAGCCTGCAGAGCCCGCAAGAACCAACGTCTGTTGTGTTTGCCGCTGGTGTGGGCTATGGTGCTTTGTTTCGGGAGTCTGGGCCAGCCCGCAAACCTGCACTGCATCTCCTTCAAGCTCAGCCTAACCCTCAGTAAACTGATTCTGCTTTGGCTCAAAAAGGTTGATTTTTTCATATTTTCTTCTTTCTTTTGCTTCTCAAATCCCAGCGGGTCCTGGCGGCTACTTGGTCATTCAGGCCAATGAGGAGTTTTGCCACCAGCCCCTGTTCCCTCGGGAGATGGTGTGGGCTGCACCCGCTATGTGAAGGCTCTGTGGGTGTAAAGACCCAGGCCCTGCAGTCTGGCAGCCTGGAGGCAGATCCGCCGCTGCTCCCCGCCGCTGCCGGGCTCCGTGAGGATCAGGGCATCTCTTGAAACCTGTTTCTCCTCTCAAACACAGGGATCTGAGCGGGGCCTGCTTGGAAGGGTGTCATGGGGTTTAAGGGAAATGAGCAACGAGTGCAGCCACGCTGTGCACGCCAGCCCGGCCAGACAGGCAGGATGGGATCTCCTCTGTTGTCTTAGAAGCGAGAAGGGAAGATGGTGGGTACAACGGTCCTGGCTGTGGGTCTTGCAGGTCTCGACAGCAAGGGCTGAATGGGCCAGCCCAGACTCGCGGGGTCAGCGGCAACTGTCGAGTCAGACTCTCTGCTGATGTTCAGTTAAATTTCAAGTAAGTTGCTCAGAGTTTTGCAAGGTCCAAGGAAAATAAAGGCAAATGGTCCATTTAATGATTCTACATCAGTTACCCACGCATGGGAAGTGGGCACCTCACTGCAGAAATGGATGGATTAATCTCCTGTGTGTAGCTTCCTGGCTCAGGGAGCGGCTCCCTTTATCTGTCTTTCATGGGCTTTGCGTCCCTGGTGGGCCGGTGTCCCTGGCAAGGTCCGGTCTCAGGGAATAGGCTTCCAGGACATTTGACAAGTACATGTTAGCCCCACCCCCTGCCACCATGCTGGTCCCAGCTCCCCCTGCCTCCCCACCTCTGCCCTGGTCTCCCCAAAGGCCGATGACCCCACAGCAGCCAGGGGAGCTGCATCTTCTGGGTGGCAGCATGTCCTTCTCTGCTCAGGCCCTGCAGTGGCCCTGCTCCTGGAGGAACAGCAGAGTCCCTCAGGGCCTGAACCCTCCAGAGTCTCCACTCCCATCGCTCTCTGACCTTACCTCCCGCCACTCCTCCCTAGGGCCCCGCATCCCTCCACTTCCCTCTCCTCCTGTGCCTGGAGCATGAGGAAGGCCCCCTGCTGAGGCCTCTGCGGCTGCAGCCACCTCCTTCCCCAGCTGCACTCAGGACTCTTCCTCGCCTCCTCCAGGTCTTTGTTTGAACACCCATAACCTGTGTGGCCTTCCCTGGCCTCCCACTAGAAACAGAACCCTCGACCCAGCACCCCCAAACCCAGCACTCCACCCTAACACCCCTCCTTGCCTGTTTCACTTTTCCCCATGGTGCCTTTTGCATCTAACATAGTTTACACGGTAACTTCAGGAAAGGCCTTGTTTGGGTCTGTGTAATGAGGGCTACATCCTTGGTACCCATAACAGGCATGGGAAGGGCAGCTCTGGGTTCTCAGCTCCCTAATCCCGAGCTCTGTGAGACCCTGCTCAGGTAGCTTCTCCTCCCTGAGACACAGAAGAGCTTGTCAGAAATGTGCTGCGCTGTGAACCACCATGACAACGTGCTGTCTGTCCTCTCCCGATGCCAGTGAACACCAGGAGAATGAAAAGCCGGAAACAGCAGCCACCTGCAGCGAGGGGCATTTCTTACTCTGGACTTTAATGTACTTGTAAAATCAAAACGCTAAGGGGTCATGATTAGATGGGGCAGAGAAGCCGGGGTCGCTTCCACAGGCCTCCAGAGAATCAGCCAAGCTCACTCGGTTTCCAAAGCAGCTGGCTCACTCTGGGGGCTGGAACCCACAGCTGCATGTGTAAAACAACAGGAAGAGGTGTGGGCACAGGCTACAGGGGACTCCCGAAAACCAGTGACACCGCGAAGGGCCATGAAGCTGGGAGGGAACGAAGAATGCATGACCTGCCATCTTTGCAGGAGACAGTGCGTCCCACATGTGATAGAAAAAAGGAGTAGTGCGGGCAGGAAGCAGCTTTGAACTGCTGATACAACGTGTGGAAGCTAAGACCAGACCAGTCTCACATGGAATACAACATGTCTGTCAGCACAGACACAGACACACGCCCTGTATCGCTCAGCACTGAACTGGGGGCCGGAGAGAAGACGTGTGGATGTGTGGACCAAGTACACACTTTGGGCCCCTTCTCTGCACTGTCTTTCTACAGATACCTGGCCTGAAAATAGCTCTCCTCATTCAAACACAAGTAAAAATAACAAGAAAAAATAGGAATAATGTAGAGGAGGAAACTAAAAATATACTACAGAAAAGTTTGGCCAGGGAGAGGACTGAAAAATATTATGAAGAAAAAATGGTATCACATGGACTTGAAGATGATTTAAAAAAAAAAAAAAAAAGTTATAAAGTCAGGAAATCAAAGCCTTAAAGGCAGAGCCACAAGAGCTCATGGGGGCAATACTATAACAGAAGAAAAGGGTAAAAATAATTTGCCAGACCTTGGGAGGAAATGACAAAGATCAAGAAAGCCATCACAGAGAAGGCTGTATTTGAAGCATCATAAGGCTGGAACAGCCATACCCAGGGGAAAAAAAAGTCTTAAAAATCTTGAGCAAATGAAATAATTTTAGTTTTCAAATATAAGAAAAATACAATAGCAATAAAAGACAAGGAAGATTTCCAAAATATATATAACTGTTAGCCCTGAAGAAGAGGACATGAAATGACCGGTCTTGAAAGATACAGAAATAATACTGAGGAATTCACACCTCTAAAGCTGTCAAATGACTTTTCCATAGGAGACCTCCGATATCAGAAGTGTGTGAAGTAGTATCCATAAAGACTTCAATGAAAAAAAGTCATTCAATAATTTTATACCTTGCTAAACTATTATTTCAGTATAAAGAGATTTATATATATATGTATGTATATGCAAGAAGTCCCATAAACTTTCTTGAAGACATTGCTAACAGACAAAAGCCACCCAGCTAAGAGCTTAAGAAAGAGTCTTTGGAAAATAAATTGGTAGTGAGGTTTATATGAAGATTTGTAAGTTAATACTAAGGTTAAGGCTGTGGAAATGATGGTTATG